CACTAACCTTTACCTCTTGTTTTGCCTTCAATTTATTTTTTCTTTTCATTGTGCATAGTTCTTTTAATAACTTTGCATAACGGGGAACACTTTTGATTAGTTTAAAGAGTGGGATATTTACCTCACAATTGGCGAAGGTCTTGTAGAGGTCTCGATCATTCTCCAGTTTCCTTGTGTCCTTCAGTGCCTCAGGGAATGGAGGTAGTGGTTCATATGATGAAAGAGGAGGGAATTTAGTTTTCGTTGGTTCCTCCTCGTTTGGTTGAAAATCTTCTTCGGGATCAACCCCATTTTTAGCTTGCTTTTCTTCCTCATGCACCTCTTTCAATGTTGTCTCATCCATCAACATAATAGCATTAACATGTTGTCTCGGGTTTTGCTCCGTTTGAGATGGTAGCTTACCCGAGTCTTTTGCCTCAAGTTGGCTCACCGCAATTGAGATTTGGCTCATTTGATTTTCCAAGTTTTGGATGCTAGATTTCGTCGTTTCTTGGAACTGAGCCACACTTTGTTGCATCGTTGACATATTTGTAGCAAGTGCTCGGATCATGTCTTCGGTGGACATATTTGAGCTTGAGGTTTGGCCTTGGTGATTTGGGAAGGATTGTTGGGAGGGTTGATTTTGTTGTGGTTGAGGGTTCCCATATCTCAAATTCGGGTGATCTCTCCACCCGGGGTTGTAAGTGTTAGAGTGTGGATCGTACCTCTTTTGTTGATGAGACTGAAAACCCAAGGCATTGACTTGCTCTTCTTGGAGAGTTGGGCAAGAATCGGTTGGATGCCCTTGTTGTGTGCATATGCCGCAGACCTTGATTTCTTGGCTTCTAGGATTCAAAAGGAAATCCTTAACCAAAGAAGTCAAGCCGGCCATTTGACTTTCTAACGATGTAGATGATTCTGCCGCGGCAACTTTATGGGTTGAGGACCGCCCGTTGTAATGCCTAGAGTTTTCGGCCAACTCTAAGATCAAGCTTGTTGCTTGTGAGGGAGTTTTGTTGACAATGCCGCCCCCACAAGCGGCATTCACCATGCTTCTATCTTGATCCGCAAGACCATCATAGAAGTAGAGGATGAGGTCTTGCTCCGTGTATCCATGGTATGGGCAACTAGCACACAACTTTTTGAACCGTTCCCAATACTCATACAAGGATTCATCATCTTTTTTATCAATGTTGCTTATTTGTTTTTTCAAAGATGATGAGACAGAGGTGGGATAGTACCTTTCTAGGAAGCATTTCTTCATTGCCGCCCATGTATCTATGCTTCCCGAAGGAAGATAGAATAGCCAATCCTTAGCCGTGTCCTTCAGTGAGAATGGAAAGGCTCTCAGTTTGATTTGTTCTTCTGTAACATTATTCGGTTTCATACTAGCGCAAATTATATGAAACTGTGCAAGATGTTTATTTGCATCCTCGCCTCTTAGGCCATGAAATGAAGGGAGTAGATGAATGAGGCCCGATTTGAGCTCAAATGTAGCACCTTCATCAAGAGTGGGGAAGGTAATACATAGAGGTTGTTGATTTAAGTTAGGAGCCGTGAGCTCCCTCAACGTTCTTGTTTCTTGAGCCATAGTGATTGGCTCTTCGTTCTCGCTAGAATAAGAACTAGCACTTGATGATTCCTCCGAAGAAGTATTCGGAAATTAATTCCTAAACCTCTCGAAGGCTTGTTCTGTTTCGGGCTTTGTTTGGTAGGTGATAGAGTTTATAGATCGGTGTTTAACCATATACTCAAACAAAGCTCAGAAGAATAGAAATCTAAGAACTCTTTATGTTTTGTTTATTTATATTTTTTTTATTTTCCTTGAAATAAAATAAAAACAAAAATTAATTGCCTTTCCCCGGCAACGACGTCAAATTTGACGAGCACTTTGTCACGGTGCGTCAAAATAATTCGATACTAACACCTATATGTAGTATAGGTGAAGTAGAGTTCGTATCCACAGGGAAGGAATAATTATCTTTTTATGAAATTTAGTAAATAAAGGGGGGGTTTGATGATGAATGATTTAATTAAATTAAAAACTAAGATGAACGACTTATATGAGATTTAATTCAAAGATAAAAAGGATTTGGCTTTGCTACTTTCCACTGTTGATATATTTTAGTCGATCCTTGTTATATCTATAACTTATCCCCTCTCGAATACTCAATCGAGGAGTATCTCCAATTCATCGACGGTAGTTATTAACAACGACCGTTCATTAATAACCATTACTATTAATCAAATATAAAACAACGTTGTATACCGATATAATAGTAGCATCAATCTTTTTAACTCCTTGATGAAATCAATTGAGATTGATAACCTCAACACAACGGTTTCGGTTTAACCAACAAAATTAATCCCTCTTAAGTCTATTAACCACGACCGTGCATTAATAAACCGAAGTTTCTTACTTGTGAAACCACAAACGATTAATCATCGGTTCGTTGATCATTTCTAGTAGTAATTAATGTCGGAACGTTAACTAATCGTCCCTTAGCAACCTTCCAACATTAATATAGAATGAGATTAAGGGAAGAATTAATAATCAAGAGAAAAAGTTAAGAAAATAACTCACAACTTTAATAATCAACAAGCTTCAAGAGCAAAACGAAGAAATGGAAGTTTAGCTCCTCATTTGGAGACTAAACATGCTATAAAAATATAAGAAATGCTATTCTAAACTGAGCTTAAGAGTATGGAAGAAGGGATGATTAAAAGTGAAGGAAAAGTGTGCTATTTATAGGTGTTTTCAACACCCTGGGGCGGATACCCGACCGGGTAAAGTGCCATACCCCACCAGGTATCAGTCAAAATCAAATATTTACCACGTTCTGGTGATCTTCGCACGCCGGATTGTCCCCGGTCACTTCTCACCTGAACGGGTGAGATAGTGGGCCCGACCGGGTCTAGTGATTTTCCAAGAAATTTCGTTTGTTAAATCAGACCCGATCAGGTGAAGTCTTCTACCCGGTCGGGTTTCAGCTCCTGGATAGTCCAATCTCCTTTTTCTTCACTTCAAAGTCCTCCTTTTCAACACCATATTCTTAATTCTATTTTACAACTTATAAATGAAGATTAAAATACAATTAAAACTAAATTCACACAAATGTTTACAAACTAAATAATACGGTAAACAATACAGACAAATCAATCATAAAAATATACATTTATGCACTACTAATTAGTGCATATCAAGAAGATAGAAAGGAGAAAAGAGGAAAGAGGAAAGGTGTGCAATCGAGATGTAGTTTGTTGACAAGGGAAAATAATTAAAGTTGAGGGTATAATTGGAAATAGAAACAACAGATTCAATTAATAGCTCCTACGTTACTTGTGTTTCGAGAATAAATCAATAAGTAGTTCTATTTTGGAACTTTCTTTTTATTCCTATTTAGATTATTTACTTTATTTTATATCGTGATAATGTTACATCCACATGCTTTTAAAAGGCACACACTTAGGATCTTTTCTTTTGTGCTGAAATTTGCTGGTCTGGTCTGATCTGACGTGGTATGACGAATGTCTGATCGTCTCTGTGTATTTTATAACAATGAAATTTTGGTATGATCTGGTGTGGGACTGAAAACAATCCAAAATAAAATATCCTTATTTCAGCATGTGAGAAATTTGTGTTGAGAGTTGAGACACCATATTTAATTTATTGATAACTTTAAGTTATTCTATTAAATTAAATATGTGTTTGAATCTTAAATAAAAAGTGCTTGAACTTGGTAGTCGTTGCATGTTAAAACTTTGCAAGAAAATGATTTCATGCATATTATTATACCTAAATATGGTTAACACATCATTGTATGTTGTAAGAAATTGTTAACATATGCATTTGTTAAAAATACATATTGACCGACGATAAAGTAACTCGATCCCTGTTCATACTCAGATTACTTTTAGTAAATAAAATTTACATATTGAGAAACTACATTAAAACCGCTACAAAGGCTGATAAAAAAATATAAATTTGATAAAAGTTTGATATATAAAACATAAGATTAAAAGTAATTTAAGTTGACCATGTGAATAGTGACTGTGAAGTTCATTTTGGACGGATGGAGTATTACAAAAATCGCTATCCGTGTACCAACAGTAATTACTAGGTAGTACGAACTACGAAGTACAAAAATATTCCATATAAAATAGAATTCTCATATGAAGTAGAATTCTGGAGTAGATTTTCAAAAGCAGTAGATTTCAAAAAAACTAATAAAACAGTCATATTTGAAATGTTAAAAATAAAAATATACTCCGGTTTAACGTACATTATGGAGTAGAATTTTGGAGTAGTATGAATTTATATGTGTGTGCTCGTGTTAACGTGCATATGTTAAAACTGATAGTGATAGTAGTTATTTAACATATACGCAAATATAATTTTAAAATTTTTGCCAAGACTTGTTAAAAATAAAAGAATAAAATTAAGTTACATATATAAACTTTTAAATTCATATCCTCAATAGTCTTGCATCTTAAACACTAATTGCAAACGACTAAATTACTAATATTTTATTTCAATCCGCTAATTGAAATTTTTAGTCTTCAATTTTTCATGACAAAATTATAGTAGGATTGAAAAGTCGAGAATCTAAAGTTGAGTAACAAAAGTATATCACTCACAAAAATTGACCGATTTGTCCCCGGTGCTTGTTTTTTTACCAATTTGACGGAGGAGGTGTTTTTTTTACCAATTTGGTAAATCACCCTTTTGTTTTACCAATTTGGTAATTTGGTCATTTTCTTCCTAAAATAGGACTTATTCACTCTTAATGGGGATGATTTTATACTTTTAATAGGATCAAGCAAGTTTTATTTCGGAATAAAATTCATGTAGTTGTATGAGAAAATTCTTGAAATAGGAGTTAAAGAATTTCAAATTTCCAAATAGGAGAAGTTTAGAAAATACGGTCTGGAGTAGTATCAAAACATGATTTATGTAGTTGTATTTGTGTAAGCTAAGTTTTAATAAATAATGATGATTTGATGTTAATTAATGGATGCAGAAGAGAGCATGGAAAAAAGGAGAGACGTAAAGGGAAAATGCATACTGGCGAGAAGTTACGCAGCGGCAAAGAAATTGATGGGAAACGGATTGAAGAACGGCGGCGGTGTTGGGGTGGCGTTCACCGGATATCCGGTGGTGGGGCGGCAAGGCAAGATGCAGACCTCCGGCTCCTGCCTCTACACATCGGAGTCCGACAAAGGCAACGCCTGCGCGTGGGACCCTCGCATTAGATCCGCCCTCTTCTTCTTCGAGTCCACCGCCATCTTCCCCGCCCACAAGTTCGGGGACTTCGTGCGCGACGTCAAAAGGCTGCGCGACGCGGCCAAACCCGAGTCCTTCTGCGGGGCCGACATGTACAACGGCTTCCTCGTGCGCTACGTCCCCGCCTCCTCCGCGTTTCTCGGTCAACCCTCGGACTCCGTGGTCGTTGACTTCAACTACTACCGCTCCCGCGAGGCCGGGGCGCCTCGGCTGGACATGGCGGTGTGGGAGGAGGTGGAGCAGATGGCCTTTTTCAAGCACGGCGCCCGCCCCCACTGGGCCAAGAACCGCGACCTCGCCTTTGCCGGCGTCGCCAACAAACTCCCCCCTCACGCTCTCGCCAAATTCCTGGAGGCCAAGAAGTTGTTGGATCCTCACGGCCTCTTCTCCAACGACTGGTCGGACGAGGTGCTGTTTGGGAATCGCCCGCCGCCGACGCCGCCTCCTGATGGCTGCGCTTTGGAGGGGCTGTGTGTTTGTTCGGAAGACCAACACTGTAGCCCTTCCAACGGCTACTTTTGCCGCCCCGGTCTGGTTTACAAGGATGCTCGTGTCTGTGCTTATTCCGCTGATTAATACTCCACGTACTACTATGTACTCGTACTTAATTTATTAGATTGTGCATGTCATTTCGATCCAATATTTCTACCTAATTAACCTCGTCGGATATATAGTACTAGTACGTACATATTGGTATTATTAGGAAAATAATTAAAAAGAACTATATTACCACCACCTATCTTTTTTTAATTGTAACATTCCTCTTTTCACGTTTGTCAACGTACAAGTTTGATCATTAATATTTTTCGGTCTTTATTATTAAAAAATTAGATTTTAAAAATTTAAAATGAGAGGAATTTAACAATATTTTTTTTAAAATTTAATTTATAATACATTAATAAATAAAATAGAGTCAAAGTAGAACATATGAATAGTTCAAAAAGTCTAATGTTACATTCAAAAGAGAACAGGGGTAGTATTATTTATCTTTTTAAAATAGAACTAAATTATATTCCATCTTCTTATTCTACCCTTAACATAACCTAATAGGATAAACATATTTTAATTTGTAATAAAAACAAAAGATAACAAAAAATATTTTAACTTTTACAAAAAATCGTCAAAATTAGAAAACTAAAACAAAAATATTTTTTAAAAATATTACGTAGTAAAATATTAAAACTAAAAAAACAATAAAATAAACTCTAAAGATAATTAAAAATAGATAAAAGGGTGAATTCCCTAAATATATAGGAGTAAAAAAGTTTTGAAATTCCAAAATCGGACTCATATTTTTTATTCCTTGAATAGGAGTAAATTTTTGCCAAGTTTAGCATTACTAGGCTTTAAAACATGGCATTTTTTTCAAACTTGACAGATTACTCCTATTCAGGGATAAAAAACATGATACTCCTATTTTGGAATTTCAAACTATTTTTGCTCCTTTTTAGAGCAATTTCTAAAGATAAAACACATTAAAAAATATAATCGGCGAAAAAATGTCATTTTGTGTAAAAACTGCTATTTTTTCTCTGAAAATGCGATGAAAGGGACATTTTTATTCTTTGAAAATATCAAAATTTTCTCGAACACTCTCATCAAGATAACATTTCTGACACGTGTTGGCATTATTTCCAGTGGTCGGGGTTGATAGTTCTGGGAGATTGTTGAGGCAGCAGTACAAGCTATGTTGATGTTGCTGGGAGTTGTTTTTTATTATATTTTAATTTTTTATTTTTTCTAATTTTTAAATTTTTATTAATTTTATTCAATATTTATTTTCGTGTGTTTTTTATTTTTTACATTTTATTATAAATAAAGTTACGTTATTAGATTTATGTTTTGATTATTAATGAAATATGAGTTTTACTACAGCATAGCAAGGGTAGAGTTGTAAAGTTAGTCCTATTTAGAGAATTTTAAATTTATAGTCCAGTTTAAGCAATTAAAGTTTGATTTAGTTCCATTTGGGGAATTCCCCTGCATTATTTGCATTTCATTATCTCTATGAATTTAATTTTTGATTTGTTGAAATTGATGAAGTTTTGGTTGAAACGATTCAACTAGACGCATTTGCTGAATTATGAAAAAGTTATATTAAAAATTTATTTTATTAGTAACATAAAGAAATTTCGCTATTTTCCCCCAGCCCTAGTGAAAATGGATAATAAAAGTGGGAAAGGGAATGAAAGGGGTTTACCCGCATGGGTAGCTCAGTTGGTCGAGTGATGGGAAAATTGGAATAAGTGACCAAAAATCGAAACCCGCAACGACCGTGTGGAGGTTACAGAAGCTGAAATAAGGTTGGACATCTGGTGCGCACGTGTATAAGGCCTACCGCCGCTTTGTTGACTGAGTCATTGTGATTAACTCCCCCACCATCTTGTAGGATCAAAGTGGGGGCTCCTGGAGTGGGAGATTCCACCTTTTAGATTGTTCCAAAAGGTGGAATCTCCCACCCCAGGAGCCCCCCACCCCGACCCGACAGGATGGTGGGGAGGTTAGTCACGGTGACTCAGTCAACAGAATGGCAGTAGGCCCATACACCCGTGCGCACCAGAGGCTCAGCCTTATTTCAGGTTTAGTGACCTCCATCCGGTCGCTGCGGAGATTCGAACCTTGGTCCATTGTTCCAAATCTTCCACCACTCGACCAACTGAGCTACTCGTGCGGGTAGTTTCCACCTTTTAGACTTAGGGAATGAAGGGGGTTATATATGAAGAGTGATTGACGGTGTGAAAGAAAATGTAAAAGGAAAAACTAGGGGAGTAGGGCTGGGTGGTTCGCCGTGCGTAGAGGTAAAAGGGGAAAAAGGGCTGGTATGCGAAGCAGTGCGCAAAGGGAATTAGGTCGTGGTGACGTCATTAAACCATATTTTTTAAAACAGTCTTACAACTATTTTTTATCTAAAATTTTCGAAAATTATATTAAAGTTGATGAATTTTTATGATCTTTCGTAAGACACCAATATGTAATACTTCATTGATCTTTCACAAATAACTTAATATTCCACAATGAAAAACAAATTTGACACCAATATGTAATACTTCATGTCATATCTTTCATATGACACCAATATGTAATACTTCATGTAGTATATAAAATGAAAAACAAAGTATGAAATTTTAACTGTTGAAGTTTTCTTGAGACCAAAATAACACGAAACACAAATTTTTAGTTCATGGATCCTCCACAAATAACTTAATATTCCACAATCGAACTTTACTTAAGCTAAGTTCATTTTTGTTAACCGAAAAATGTTAAGAAAAATGAAATTTATTTATTTTTACATCGAAATGTTTATTTTTTGTATTTCGTAATTATTCAGGGAAAAAATTAAAAAGAAAACATTACTTATAATAATATAATTTAGTGTTTTAATAAATTGATTTGTAGAAAAAATATGTTGAATGTATTTTATTGACGATGCTGAAGTGCAGGAAAATATGAGTGTTAAATTATATACACCTTTTTTATATAGTCGAAGTCCATTTTTAACATTTTACCCTTCCCACAACTACAATTGGTCTAACTGGACTAACATGGATGGACCCATCTCCAAATCTTCCCACAAACTCTTGATAATTTCATATTATTTGCATCATTCACTGATTTAATGAGTTTTTCGATCTAACACCTGAAAACTATAAACTATTAACTATGACATAGTATATCATCAATTTCACTTTTTAAAAAATACTCCCTCCGTCCCTTATAACTTTGTCAACTTTCCTTTTTTGGTTGTCCCAAAAACTTTGCCACTTTCCCTTTTAATCAATCAATTTGTGGTTGCTGTTATTTCTCTCTCTTCTGCACAAATCTCTACCACACAGTTTTTACTTTATTATTCTACGTGTCGGTCAAACTTGACAATCCTTTTAGGGACGGAGGGAGTATGTTCTTAATCTTACAAACTTTTGTGAAGAAAAATTCATCAAAATTAGCAATAAAATAAATAAATAAATAAATAAATAAATAAATAAATTAATAAAGACGCCAAATTCTATGATATTTTAAGCCTTTCATTGATAATTTGCAATCATTTGCATCCTAGTTAGGGGTGGACTGGGAACATAATTTTATTTTATTTTTCTTTTTTTAAAAAATAATTTACAAGTGCTAGAATAAATTAAATGTATATTTATTAAAATATGAAGTACATTTGATAATTGAGAATAATTTTGAACATTAAATATATTTGATAAAAATAAGTCAGAATCTCTACCAGCGTCGGTTGTTGTTTCCTCCATGAAGTGATTGATGGGGGCAACGCAAACTTCTTGATTTCTACGTCGGGCTTTCAACCGATCGTTAAAGCAAATAAGCTTCTCAAGAGATTGTGCACTCAATCCTGTTCTAGATGTATAGATGTAGGAAAATGTTTAGATATAGGTGTATTTATAATTTCTTTTACCCCCACCCCCCAAACCCCCCAACCCCTCAGACCCACCCCCAACCGCTCTATAGCCGCTGGCAACAGCTAAGAGTCAACCCATCAATTTGAAACCCAACTTTTTTTATTTAATGACAGTTGGGCCCGAACCAATTTCGGACCGACCGGGTCGGTCACCTAAAATCACAACCCGATGCCCACTGCTTCTTCATCCTGGTCGGGTCCTAAGCCTGGTTGCGATCAACCGGGCCGAGCCGGGCTTGCACGGTAGCAGGGCGGGTAGAAGGCTGGGTCAGCCCGTCCCAATCCATCCCTAATCCTAATTTTATCTTCCAAATCCTTGATTGATACTCTTTTGACTCGAAAAAACTATTTCTTTTTTGAGTAAATCATAGGGGTGTTTCCCTCTTGCCACCTCAAATACTCTTTCTCAAATGTGGAGAGATAAAGAACAGCTTTTTACCAATGCAATGGTATGAAATCCATCAAAGAAATGAACGCAAATATGGGCATACAGATAATAGCTAGGGGACAATCAAATTAGTTTACACATAAATTCTTAAAATTATAAATTAAATATCCAGGGATAAAACTGTACGAAGCGCAACTGTTGTGATAATGTGATTGGTTCTGCAATAGGAATACTGTAATTTTTAATGTCTCCACGGCCAAGGCGCCACCAGACAATGCCAATCACCACTGGCAGCGATAAACGTAACTACTATCCTTATTTGTATAAAACACGTTAAAGTCCATTTTTTGCATTTATGTGCAATGGTGCTACTATGCATTTGTGAAAAAGAAAATAACAGCTGAATTTGCTGAACCTGATTAGGTAATATTACTCAGTACTCACAACAATGCATCACAAAACAAGAAAATTAAATGGTACACATTATCTCCAAAGTAATTTGAATGTCTTTAACTGTTTCCTCCGAGTATATAGATACTGTATACAGAGCTATATACATTTCAAACTTATTCTCACAATTAAGTAAAAGCAAAAAAAATCCCAGTGACGCAGGAAGCCTAATACAAAGTCTTTCGCATACGAAAGGTTTCATATAACATACAAGTTTAGCACATCGGGTATAACTGAGTGTGTTATGACAGAACTACCAACCTTTGTTTACTGCATCACAGATATAGATCAGGAGTTGGAAGCTTAAAGCTCTACTGTAATTTTCTTCCGGGCCTGCCTATATGTCCCATAAAGTTTGCAATTTTTACCTATCAGATTAATTTTACCTCTCCCGAAGACATGACAATTTTAATCGACACCATATTGTGGCTCTTTTCCCATTCTAACCTTTGTAACCCTTGGGCGTTTACGTATCTCCGTACTAACTGCTCTAGAAAAACTCTTTTTCCCAAATTTCAAGTCTTTCCAGCTAATTGTATAGACATTTCCAGCTTCAGGGATGCTAAAATCCGCTGGATTTTGATTAAGACTGCAAATGTTACTCTCACGAATGCTTTTCGAAGGCCAAAAAGTACCATGGCTGTTAGCTTTTCTCTCAAATTCAAAGTATTTGTGCCTGTTTTCAAGCATATGACCCTGTACGGAAAAGGGAATAGGTGGAGGGAGGGTTAGTAAACCGTTCTGTATGTCTCTAGCAGGAAAAGAACCTTGAGTCATATGTAGGGTCCCGCTCGAAGATGGAGAATTATGAAATCTGCGTGCTCTGAGTGGTGAGGATGCATATGATCTTGACTTCTCTTGTTCTTGAGACTTGAAAGATATTTGATCTATAATGCAGGGCCCACAATTTGTTAATGAAAGACGTTTAGTGATGAAACGGAAAACAGACAGGTCAAGTGCAGCAGTTTTGGCAATACTGTCCTACACTCCAAACATTAAGAGCAACAGCACGTACTAAATTCTATTCAAATGATTAAATTAGTTGGTAAGTTATCAAAATGCATTGAAATATATTTTTATTAATAGGTTAGAGAAAACAGATTTTTTAATATAAAAAAGGGGGTACAGGTGTAACTCTTTTTCACCTTAGCCATCAAGCAAAAAAACAACTAATGCACTTCGTTTTTCATTAAAAGATGATTAATTAGCGAAGCCAGATAAGTAAAGAGTGTTTGAGAGACTTAATCTCAAGGAATAAGTGCTTTTTGCCAGGGAGGGAGGGGCTGGTTTCGTTTAGAGAAGTGCATCTTTTTGTTTAGAATTACAGAAGTGCATTTTTTTTTAGAATTAGAGAAGTGTATCTTAGAAAATGGAAACATGCTTTCAGCTACAACAACCAAGCCTTAGTCCCAAAAGATTTTGGTGTCGGATAACATGAATCAATACATGATATCAGAACTAGGAGGAAAAATGCTTTCAGTTATTTTAAAAAAATTAATGCTTATTTGAGAAAACAACAGATGGGTGTCTTTTTTAATGAAAACAAAGCACTATAAGTGCTTAAATGAGATAGCACTAATAACAAAAGCACATTATTCTAAGCAGTATTGTTTGGTAGAAAGGGGGACTTAGCATTGGGTAGAAGAGCAGGCGGATGAGCAGAAAAAGCAGTCTGCCAAGTGGGCATTAAGTGTTACAACAAAGAAGATAGGACATGAGTTCCTATTAGCAATTGAGAATCTACTGAAAAAGAACCACATGCTAGCTATGAACTTACTGTATGCAGTAGAAGGTAAAGAATGTTGGGAGCTTTCACCAGGACTCGACACATGGGGTCTAAGGTCATGGAAGAGCTTGGAATGCTGCTGTGGCGGGAACAAAGATCTATCAAAGAAATTCTGAGTTACTTCCCTGCTAAGACTAGAGTGATAGTCACACGGCACAAATGGTTTCTCAATATTGTAAGCCCTATTGGATGTCACCTTCCTATCCATGAGGCTTAGCAACTGCATTGCGGGTATTGCCTCATTTGAATAAGACTCTAACCCAATAGTTTTTTTGTTATACATGCTGGTGGCCTTTTCAATTTCCTGTGGCTTGGGGAAAAGTAGATGTGATTCACTTGACTTTTTCACTTCATTGGCTTTTATGTCACTGATAGTCTTCCCCTTATGAACTTGAGGATCTATCTCCCTGTTTCTAGATTGAGAAGTAGAGTTAGGAAATCCAAACGGTGTGTTGGTTCTGGGGCCCAACCACCTCAAGTTTGCTCCTTCATCGCACTGAAACCCGTTTCTTACGGAGATTTGACCACCACTAGGTATTTTTTTCGGGTTAAGAGGATGTGCACCCGATAATTTAATCAGGTTTTCTTCCACCATTTTACTGGAATGGTTACTGTGAAAATAATTTATAGGAGGTGACTTCCATGCCGTAAAATTATTTCCATATATATCAGATGAATACCCTTTGCCACCACCGTTGTTGTTTATTACGTGATGAATCGGTTTTTCACTAAGACCCCTTTCATACTGGTTTTGAGCCATCAGTTCTACTATTTCCATCGGTATGTCATCTGGTGGGCGTTGCTGAGATGATTCCTCATCACGTCTTTGACTCTTTTTATGTTTAATGTTTTCATCTGTACCCCCCTGAAAATGTTTTGCTCCACTATTTTGCCGAGAAAAGTCCTGGGAGGAAATTGTAAGAAAGACTCAATGAATGTAAAGAATTCAATATTTTCCAATCTGATTATTAAGCTATTACTACGTCGGACACACAATTATGAAAACTTTCCTGGGAAAAAAGTATTAGAAACACAAGTTCATGTTTCCCTCTTGTGGCTATTAAAACCATCAACTTGGGACATGAAAGATGTACATTATCATATTAGAACGTGAATGATTGGAACTTTAAGTTCAATATATTAGAAAATCTTGGGTTTAGCTCATTTATATTTTTAATAAACTCCGTATTATATATATGTGTGTGTATGTGTATGTGTGGTCCGATTCTAATAAAAAGTGCTCTTCCCGTACAAAGTGCGAACAATTCCACTTTCGATCATTCACGGTAGACTATTGCACGCCGAAACTCCACTTTTTGCAACGAGGAAAAACTTTGATTTATTTACAAAAATGCCACCACGGTTTTCATCCACTAAAGCGTTTTTGATATATTTAGAGCCCTTAGATATTAGATCCGATGCACCAGATTCATTCTTACTTTTCATAAGAAGGAGACTTTTTATTTGATCCGAAGTCTATATATATACTCACTCCGTCCCATTGGACTTTGCAAACTTTCCTTTTTTGGTTGTCCCAAAAATTTTTGCTACTTTCCTATTAAAGTAACTACTTTGTGGTTCTGCACATTTCTCTCTCATCTGCATAAATCTCAACCACACAGTTTTTACTAGGGCTGATTTCGGTTCGGGGCCCGAACCGATCCAATGAAATTTGGAACCGAACCGAAATTTCGATTATTCCAAATATCATACCCGAAACCGAACCGATCATCAAACGGGTCCCAATTTATTGGGAACCGATTTTTCGGGTCGGTTTATCAAAAACCAATCAAAAACCGACATATACAAATTATATATCAATAAAAAATTAAACTTGAACTATAATTTAATTCCATAAGCCCAAAATGTGACACTTAGATTTTTGAGTACATTAAAGTCCACTTTGATAGTCTAGGACCGGAATACATGACCCATTCAGACACAACTACAAGTTTGAGCTCATCCCTTATTATATAGAAGCATTTGAGGAGTAAACTCCTTTTGTTTCCGGTGTGGGATGAAACACCCACAGAAGAGAAAAAAAAAGCTTCAAGCATAATTCAACCTAAAAACTATCACGCGGGATTCGAACCCGTGACCAACAGGATGGCTAACACACTACGCGACCGACGAACCAAGGCATTTGATACGTTCATGATCCTCTCCCAACGGTATTGTATATTTAGTAAATGAAATTAACTATGATAAAAACAATTATTATTATTAATAAAAAAATCGGTTCGGTTCGGTCCAAACCGATATTTTGAGAGTACAAACCGATTTCGAACCGATTTTTTTTCGGGTCCCAAAAATTATCGACTCGGTCCGGTTCGGTTTTTTTTCAATGCGGTTCGGTTATTTTCGGTTCGGTTTTCGGTTCAAAATGCCAGACCTAGTTTTTACTATTCTTATTTGTCACCTACATTGCACTTGGCAAAGTCCATCGGGATGGAGGTAGTATATAATAAGAACCAAAGTTCATGATTTTTTCTCTCAAGTGTCCTAAATTGTTCAAACTACAAAGAAAAAAGAGCAAGTGAAAGTATTTTAAGAGATACATTCTACTCCGTCTCACAAAAAGAGTCTTTTTTCTAAAGCTTCTCTTTACTGAAAAAATGTGGTGTTTAACCAAATGAGAACAATTTTTCAGAAAAAAATCTAAAGTAAAGAAACAAACATGTTTAAAATCATAAATTTAGGTAAACCATATGAATAGATTCTAATATATAAGTACCATTTATTGCAACATACGCACTTTCAAAAAAGTAAAAAGTTTTAATTTGGCCCAACATGATTTTTTCCTTTTTTAATACTCTAACCCATTTATAGTATCTCTGTGAACCTTAATCGGGATGAGATTCAAAGTTGTGACCTTAACTTGTAAGGTAATAGGTATGTCATCAGACAACAATGAGTTTCACAACCGCGATTTTTTATTGGACGTATAGAGTAATAAATAACAGCAAGAGAAAAAGTGTACCGTTTTCTTATGCAGAGGGAAACTTCTTTCTTCAACTGAGGTTGAAATATTTTGTTTCCCGTGAAACGGTATAGTTGTTTGAGCATTAAGGTCACACAGTAATCCTCCCTTTAAAGAAGACCAATCTGCTTTAACAGTGGCATTGTCTTCTCTTACTAAAACTCCCTTCTTCCTCCTATGGTCACTTATTCTATCTGCTTTCTTCAGATTGCCACTTTGGTCATAATCAATCTCTATACTTCTTGCCTTTGGATCCTTAAAACTGTTGAGGGACAAATCTAACCCTACTTTACCCACCGCTTCATGTGGAAACTTAAAGTTGCCAACTTGAGAATGTGGCCACGGTTCAAGGTTCTTCCTTTTGATTGAACTTTCTCCCACCCATGATGGGAAATTTCTAGTTTCAGGATATTTGTTGGTATTATTATTGAAGGATACACAAGAGCTCTTCTTTGATTCCATTAATGGCTGAAAATATTTAAAGCGCTGCTCATCCATGTTCCCTTCATGTTTCTTCAAATCACCAGATCCAGCGGGAGTCATTGGCCAAGGAATTATTGAAGAACATCCATCGTCTACATGAATCTGTTTGCCTTTCTTTTTCATCACTCCAGATTCTTTCTCGGTTCTGCGTTTGATTTGTCTGACTGTGTTTGGTTGGGACTCACGAATATCAATTGCTACTGGGCGTCTCTCTGCAACTTTTTTCACAACTTTGGAGTCAAGTTCTTGATTCAACTTCCTTTTCCTATGACCTTTCTCCAGGTCAGCTGACCCTCCATCAGAAGATGCAACATGAATTTGGTCAAGAGAAGCTTGTGCAGAGTCTGTGCCAGTAGTATTCTCAGGGTTGACTTGCCCACTTAATAAATCAGCGAGCAAACGGAACCTAGCCTTCCCACTTTCACCGTCACTCTCAGATGATACCTCCGCATTATCTCTCAAACTATTATCAAGAGCTTGCTCACTTGCGTTGTTGGTGAATGGAGTTTCACGAGTTATTGAAGCAGTCCTATCTCTATCATCAATAGAACGGTTCTCAGTTTCTTGGACAATATATTCACTTTCTTCATCTGCAAGATTCATATCACTATTAACAGAAAATAAGTTATAATTGGGTCCAAGGATATGTATCGCATTCAATCACCAACCACATGTTGCAGTCATCTTGATGAGTTTATGCTAAATTGGATTTAGCTCATCCCGAAAGATATCTCAATAGGTAAGGTTTACCCCATACATATATTCCAGACTCAAAACTCAATAATCAACTGATATGTGATATTAAACATACACCCCTAGACCTAAGTTGGGGCTAGAAAACTGAAGGGGTGGACAAATGGCACAAACTAATTCCAAACAGGCTGCCCCAATCCATCTACAAGCGTGTGTCTCACAAACAACAATCTGACTTGGCCAGACTCTGGTACCATGTCAAACTTGGACCCACTCATGCCAAATTGATCTCAAGAAACGAGGTATTATCCTAGACTCGTATCCAGCATATGTGATAGAGTCAACAGTTTAAAAGACTGTTATATAAATATCCATATGAACTATATGGCCTCCATTGAGCTGCTTGGCCCTAGTCTATAATTGAGTGGTCGCCAAAAACATTTTTAGAACACCAGTTTAAAATAAGGATAGTAGGATACTTAGTGAGTTAAAGTAGACATAGACATCATTTTTGGGAACTTGATATAATGAAATAACCTACGTATTTGCGCTTCTTGACTCAAGTCTTGATTTGATCTCATTATGTTTAATCCTCCGCCGTTACTAGTCTCTGTGTTTCTTTCCCGTTTAGATTCTACATCATCAACTAAGACAGAAAAAGGCAGAGCTTAATCATACAGAAAGTAAAAACAAAGCAAAAGTAAAATAATAAAAACTCAAACAACTTACCATGCACATTTGCAACTTCAAATTCAAAGGTAGCCTCAGTAGCATGTCTGGATAATGATGGAGATATATTATTGGCACAAGTAGCGGCATTTATTACACCTATACTCGAAGTTGGAACACTTGCTGCCTCAAATGCTGGCTTTTCTGTGTTACTACCACCCCTACACGACTTTGGGGAATACAAACAGCAGCTAATAAACGGAGAACGTCTGCAACTATTAGAAGGCGTCCCGCTACTGCTTTCCTTTCCTGCATTTTGATTGGTGAGAAGATCCTTCATGCAGTTCTCACAACGCCACCATCTAAATTTAGGAACAACAAGAGGAGGAAGTTGGTCTTCTGAAACAGCACTACTATCAATGGATTTTTCAAAGAGCAAACAGGTCTTGTGGTCCTTTTCTCTCATCCCCGCAACATACCCACTGCGTCCACAGCAGAAAATTTGAACTGCCTTTTAAATATCTAAATCAATTAAACACACACTGACAAACTAGCCCTCATTCTCCAAAGGGAAATGTTGTAGAAAGCAATAGGAACCATTAGGATTCGAAGAAGACCATCCATATTCTTTTACACAGTATGATTAGCATCGATCTCTTTGCACATATACCAACAACAACAACATCCAAGCCTCGATTCCAAAAGAGTAGGGGGTCGGCAAAGATGAATCAACAAATGGTGTCTTAGCACATATACCAATCATAAAAACTTTATCAAAAATAACTTTAGTTAATACCAAACTTTTGTTAGCGGACCCCAAAATATTTTGGGAATAAGGCTTAGATGGTGTTGTTGTTGTAGTGAATACCAAACAACATGACACATTTAGATAATACGCATCCAACATAAAAAATTACAGAAGCTTTAGATTAGTCTTGATCAATGAGGTCATATATCTATGATATTAAAATATCAATAAAGTACTTTCAACTATTTGAAGACTAGAAAAACAGAAAAGTAGAGCAAATATTTGACAGTTAAAGTGAATGGATCTTAACAATTCAAAGCTGGTATACCCTCCAATTAGGCCTTCACATTACCATTTAATTTTTATTTGGAAATGAATAAACCTGTTAGAGACAATGTTGTGTTTTACTGTTATAGAAATGTGCATGCATGCATGTATGTATGTGTGTGTGTGGCTTATGAAGTAGTGAAATGAAAGCGTTACCGGATTGAGAATGAGTGGCGACAGTTTGCATCCTCAACTTTCTGCATAGCAATATGGCTGAGGTCGATTGTGATTGAATCAATCTTTACGAGTGAAGATCCTGAAGGTCTGGGAACCGTATTATTGCACAATTCACTGAGGTGATGATTCCCAGTGTTACTCTTGTCCATGATACGATGAGAAGAAAACAAACACTACAAATAGGAAGAAAGAAATATCCAATAATTGATTGACATAAAAGAGTGGCGTGAAACGTGCATTAGCATTTCACTACACCAGGTACTCTAAGATTCAAAAGGGACAGTGATAAAGTGAATTGACGGGCTGAAGGTGGCATATAGAATGTTGAATCGCACACATAAAATCATAGAATGGAGTGACAAAATCAATGAGCATTGTATGCTAATCAGGTTAGCGGTTGCATCTACTAAAGTCATCGATCACTATATATATGCATGCGCGTGTGTATGTGTATTAGTGAGTAGTTGGAGGTAGAGATGTAGGAAACCCTAGCTACATCTCAGGGCGAGAAAGTCGGTTGCTTTAATTTGTCCTCCGCGCCTCGCAAGTAAGTAAATGAAACCCGCGGTCGGTCAAATGAACAGTAAACTCCATCCAGTCCGCTTTAGGGTTTCCCTTTTACTGAGACGGTCGGTCGGTCCGCCCGTCTGGAGATTATCTATATATGTATCTTTTATTAAATAATAATAAGAATAATAATAATAATAATAATAATAATAATAATAAATAAACTTTCTTAATAGCAAAGCAAAGCAAAGCAAAGCAAAGCGCGCTTAGGTAGGGATATTAAAAATGAATCAATCGATGATCGATGAAGCGCTGAGGTAGGGAATTGATAATAGGGCTTTTCCGAGGACCGTCGATTTCGGTAGCGAATTTATTTATTTAATTAATAATAATAATTTAAATGAAAGGCAGGCATCGCATCGAGGGAGGACAGAAATGGAAATATAGAAACAACGAAAACTAAGAAAGGACAGAAATCTCAAGTACCCAACCCAACAAACTCACTTTATCTCTTAAAGGAAGGAAGGAAGGAAGGAAGGAACGAGAGGTTGAGCTCAAACTCGGCCCGAATTAACCAATCTAAAATTAATACTTTTTTCATTTTTCAGATCAGGAAACTGTACCTGTGGAGACCCGACCAGACAAGGAAGAGCTAGCGGCGGAGGGAGAAACGACGGCCGTTCGATTCGAACGGAGGGGCGGGAGCTTCAGGACCGGACATCCAGCTGGCTGGGATGAATTGGAGTGCGAAGTAAGCTCAAACCCTAAAAGCAGCAGCGCGCAGCAGCTTCTTCCCCTCTTTATTTTAGGTTAGAGCGAGAGAGAGAGAGAGAGAGCAAATGTGTTGTCGCAGAGAGAGAAAGAGCGGTACGTAGTAAAGTGGAGAAATGAGGTTTTTTGTGTCTTTTCTCTTTAATCTTTTGTCTGTCTGGGAGCCACTCCACTATTCATTTGCATCTATTATTGTTTATCTCATCTTTATTTAATTGTATTATTGATTACTATATGTGTTTTATTTACATAGCTACCATACGTACCAAACAAATACCCTAATAAATAAATAAATACTCCATACTTTATTCACTCACTTCCAATCTCTTTTACTTCCATCGATGTGCGTCTATATATATTTACAAATTTTTAATCTATACCTATCGTCCTGCCATGTTTTCAGTTCGTGCCCTATATTCGTAGGCACGCATCTTTTATGTTTTTGTTAATTACCTTATTATCCTCCTTCTATTTTAAAATGATTACAAAAATATTACCATCTCCTTTCCAGATAGATGTACAAAATTGACGTTTCTTGGTCAAACATTTTCATTTTATCCTCTTAATTAGGATGTCAATCTTTAATAATATTCTAATTTGAAATTTACAATTTTGAAGAGATTTTAAAATAATTTATGTATATCTAAATTTCAATTATTAGAAATTGAATTCATTATCAATATGGAGGATTTAACTTTGACATCGGTTTACCAAAAATGTTGACTTTTCAATCAATTTGGGACGAAGGGAGCTTCTTGTACTGGGGTGGAGAAAGGGAATGTCGGGATATATAAAGAAATAATTACATATTTATTACAAAAATGGATATTATTTACAAAAATATGACTAATGACAAGAGTAGTAATAAATACATAGTAATTTATGTTCAATTTTTAAACTTAAATTACCATGACACTACATTGTAATAACTATTACTCATATTTGTGTAAATAACTTTAAATTTTGGTAATATTTTTGAAAAAAACTCATATACATGCATATGTGTATATATTTATAAGAAGTACAGTATAAAATCAATATATATATATAAAAGAGTAACTTTTTAAGAGCATACAAAGCGCCACATAATCTTGCCATGTCATCCATCATATATAACAATTATTTAGTTATTTTTATACTCCGTACCTTTTATTTTTATTGGATTCTATTTTTGATTGCATATTGATATGGAAACAAATGACTCTAGATTCCGTCACTTTTGAAATAGATCGATTCCTAATCTAAATTAGGAAATCTTTATATGTTTACAAATTCCTAATTTTGTTTACTCTTAAGATGTTTTTAATTAGATTGATTTCAGTCTCAGACTAAATCAGATCAGATCAAACTTTAATAATAATTGGACACATAAAATGTAAAACAGAAATCTACCAGATCATATTACTTTAGACCAAATCAAACCCGAAAATTTTAATTCAATTAAAACGTCCTTATTAATGATGTTTTCAATGTGATGAAATAATAAGTAAAATGTGCGGGAGTAGGGCAGCCGCCATCTAATTTCTTTTTTATTATAATTACAATTTCTTATTGGTGTGCATCAGTCTATGTGCCCGTTTCTATTCACGGGATCTAACATAATCTTTTACTTTATATATCACGAAATGTGATTCTGTTTTTTGCGCTTTTGTAAAAAATTTAATGTAGATTCTAAATATGTAAATAATAAAATCTAAAAAAAAAATAATGCTGACATAGATCCGTTTGATTATCATTGGTCTTTTTGTTAAGTGCGTTCAGATTATTATTTTTAACTGGAAATAGTAATCCAATGTCGGCTTCAAACAATGAACATATGGATTATAAGTCTAATTTTGAACTCATTAAGACAATTCTAAACAATAATATTTTGCTTTTTGAAAGAAAGACATAATTTGGATTAGAAATGATTCATCTTTGCGCCATTTCTGATTTGAGTTTTGCTAGAGGTACCCCAAAATGTACTGCATTTTTACCCCGCACCCTAATGTGTGTCCATAAATGGAGCAATTCATTTAAAAATGTAGGTTGGTGGGTAGGATAGGGAAAAAGGTAGAGATAGATAGGAAGCAAAAAAAGAAATGGAGGGGGGATGGAGAGGAGCTGAACCCACACATTAGATGTTGGGGGTAAAAATGAGGTACATTTTGGGTTACCTTTAGCATTTGTGTTCTGATTTTACATTATAATAATTATCGTTATCTTTCATACTATAAAATGATCATAATAGTGGGAGTAATTGATTCTTTTTAACAATTTGTGTTAGTCAATCTGAAATTGTTTAGAATCTAAGGCTTAAGTGAATGGTGTTGAAATATTATTTGAATAGATATTTGTTGGTAGGCAATTTTTACCTGTGGCGTTATTGTACTACTTACTATACAGGCCCTCAGCTCTACATTACTTGTACGTGCATGGCGATTAGTAAAATGGGAACTTTTGATTTTTGAGCCGATCGACACATGCAAATATGAGGCGAGGAGCTGAGGGTTCACCGGCCGCAATTCAAAAAATGGTAACTTGAACCGCGCGCCCGATTAACCCTAGCTAGCTCAATGATGAGATTCCAAACCCCAAATTCGCCTTAGATTAATTTAATTTGTAGCCAATGAAAACTATACAAATCATTCTTAACCGTACCTGTTCATCGATTGTGCGTCTCATCACATATCACCCAAGCTAAGGGCCACTAATTACTCAAACTCGTCTTGTTAGATCGCTTTTATAGTTTTCAACTCGTCACATTTTTTTATTAATTAAACCTCACATTTCAATTTATAAGTTTGGCTACTGATAAATCTATGCACAACTAATCAGAGAAAAAATCAATATATAGTACTAATAACTAAAACTTGCACATTTAAAATGAAAAGATCGATATATGTATGTATATATCATCACCTATAAAAATACGGAGTAATAGTTAAGACGCATTAGAAATCGCTTTAATTAATACCAGCTATTTGAGTATATATGTCTGTATGTGTTAGAGTTTCAAGTGACTTGACCTAATATGAAACCCTAATAAATTATACTTCCTCCGTTCTTAAATACGTGCAACGGTCAACATTTCACACTTGCCGAGATACAACTTTGACCATTAATATCAATGATTTTGTATTAGTAAAAAAATTAGATTATGAAAATTTACAATGAGACAAGTTTAACAATATTTTTTTCATAAAATAATATTATTACATAAATAAATAAGACGTAGTCAAAGTATAACATGTGAATAGTTTAAAAGTCAAAGTATTGCATTTATTTAAGAACGGGGGTAGTATAATGGATTGTAATGAAAGAAATACATGAACACAAAGATACATACAACAAGGCTTTTGATATTCCTCATCTAGCTTCATCGAGAAGCTTATATAGCGGGGGAATTGGTAGCCCTTATCTATCAGATTATTAGGTGACTATTCTAGTGATATGACAAATTATTTAAAGGAGCATCGTTGAGTGAGAGAGATTATCGAGGCAAGATTAATTGATAGAATAATTTGAGATCAAAATATGAAATTAAATTATTTTGAGATTATTTATTAAATTAGAGTTGATTAGTTAATACAGGACCCACAAAAGATCAGATTATTTCGGGATGATGGTTGGAGGTAATAATTCAAAGGGGATGAGATTATTTCTAAAACAATTATGTGGCAAATATTAAAAGGTAAGAATCACAAAAAATCATATTATGTTAGAATTATGAATGTGGATGCTCTTAGCCGCTTCATCAAATTATTTTTTTTGGAAAAACTTAATCAAATCATTAAAGAGTTATAAATGCCATTTAATACCATATACTACTAATAAATGATGCAAGCTACCTGTCATTCGTGATCATTGTGCATGCTTCACTATCTGATCCTTCTTACACATACTCCCTCCGTCTCGTTGGAATGTTCCTGGTTTGACATACACACATATTAAGGAAATAAACTTATCAGGGGGTAAATTTTACTGTTTTGATACTGTTTCGACACTGTTTGGTACTGTTTCGACACTGTTTTGCACTGTTTGACCCTGTTTTGATGTAGGATAACTTTCCATTTAGGGAAATGGGAACTTTCCAACGAGACATCCAAAAAAGGAAAGCGAGAACATTCCAACGGGACGGAGGGAGTACTAATCTTGAGTCTTGACCGAGACAAGATATGGATAATTATACCTATCAATATGTAGTAAAAATGATGTGAAACTACTTTCGATTATAAATCTCGTCATCATTTAACTCGTCAATGATTTATATCAAATATATAATCAATTTTGTTATTGTACTTCAGTTACGTTTAAACTACGCTTTATTTGATTATTTGGTATGAGTATGTAATGGGGTAAGTGACTAATTTTAAATAATTTAGAAAAGTCAATATTTTCTATTTTTCTCTATTATAGATGATATTTCCAAAAGTGGTTTCTATATTCTGAATATTTTTGAATTTGTGGTTTCTATAAAGAGATTGGCCTAGATGGGACTAACAATTAAATAATAGTGTGATTTCCGTATGTATGAATATTATATTTTTTCCTAAATAAGATTAAGTATAGTCATTTAAAAAATCATACGTAATAATATCATAATAATATGGCAGTATGATTCCATGCAAGATGATAGTACTTTACTCGTATTTATAGGAAAAAACTACAACCTTATCAAGGAAAACTATGCATCTTGTTAATTCTTTTACTCTGAAAAGTATCCCTTAATTAGCATTGGAGTTCGCTTAATCAGCTGATTCTGTCGATATTGATGAAGTTCTTGTTGAAGTGACTGGATAAGTTGATTCTGTTGATTTATAAAAAAATTATACTTAAAATATATTGTATTAATAAAATAAATAAAAATTATATGAAAAAATAGCTAATAAAATAATCCGCTGCAGTAACTTCAACCAATACACCCAGAAAAGTTATTTCAGTCTTACTTTTCTTATTCTTACTCAATTTAGCGCTTGAAATCAAAAGTTACGTGTTTGGAGAAAAACTTGGTTGTTAACCTAATAACCTGAAAAACATGGTCACCAAACGGGCTCTTAAAGTTAGTTTCAGCATTAAAAAGCTATAGACTGACTAGATTGAGTACGTTGATAGACTATGA